AATCCCAACACTACTGTACAGCATCATGTTCATTACAGCAGTGACTGTCAGCGAACGTTGTTGTGAATACGTGTATATGTATGTAAGATCTTTTAGTATTGCAATACATAAGAGGGTACTGAAATTTTGGAAATGAAATAATTTTCATTTGTATAAAATGTGTCTAAACAATAGTGCTTGTTGCGAAGTACTGGAGTGCGGTCACTGTATTTTCGAAACCAAGTTTTTTTTGGTATAAACTCTATTACCGTTCATTGTCTCAACGCAGAACTGATACAAAAACTCGGGTGCCCACTGGAAATCAAAGCCAAAACCTCTTGCACCGGAGGTTAATGTGCCTGACACGGACACTACGCACAAGGTTTGTAAGTAATATCTGAATATAGACTTGTATAAAACTTAGTTTTAATTAATTGACATTAATTGCTTACGTTTTATTACATATCAGTGTTCTGACGTTTAGAAATTACATTTCCTTCATTCGATGGAGCTGCGAACTCCAGTTTCTTGGGGGGCACCAGACGCCACTGCTGAACCTGCCACGGCAAAACGTCTGACCGTGGTCAACAATAGCGCCCAAATCGTTCAGACGATTTTCTCCAAAATTGATATCCCTAGATCGATGAAAAGGATTTAGGAGCCCTGTGAGCTAAAAATGAATGTTTTAATTTTTGGGTCTTTACATGAAGCCTCAAAAACATTTTCAAATTTTTGTCAAAAACGGCTTCAATTTTTTAAATTAAATTTGTCATCGGGTAGTATAAAATACGGATAAAAGAAGGAGGTCTCATTTTCGTTGAAATTATTCATACCTAATTATTTTAAATTACAAAAGTTCAACATTTTTTTGGCATCTTCCTACCACTATGCTATTGAAGACAGATTTTTTCCCCTTAATATAAATCTGTTCTTAAATGACAGATCTTGAAATGAAGTCATTTTAAATTTTTTGAGTATGTGAACAATTTTTGCGTGTAATTTAGGCAATTTGTAAACAGTAATATAAAAATCCCAACCACGGCTCTAATATTTTTCTTTAAATTTTCTTCTCATATGTATCAAAGATTGGTAAAAAGTAGCAGTAATCACCAATTCCAGCAAACTCTGTATTTTTGAAAATTGCAAAACTACACATTTGACTGTCCACACTAACCCCCAAACCCCACAGTATTGAAGAGCCAACTTTTAGTTTTTGTTTATAGTGTGTCAAAATATACTCACACATGTGTAAAGATATTTCTTTAAATGACCAATTCTTCATTGTTTAGGAAAGCTTAATAAATGATTCATTCAAGTTACAGACACAATATCATGTTGTTTCAATGCCACCCTGTTCTTAAATATAATTGTTCTGAAAATTATTGAACTAACAATACTACTTATACTAATGTACTCAGTACCTTCTATAAGAGACAATAATTACTTAAAAAGTAAATGCTTTCTTGCTTAATTAGTTACCTTTCTTCTTTCTCATTTGAGATGGTCAAAACACATGTTAGGAAAACCCAAAGTTGTAATATCAATGAGGAAATAGTGAAGGATGCTTTACATTGCATAGATAAGCCTTCAGAACACTAACAAAATAATGTTGTGTTAGAATATGTAAAAATACAAATGAAACAAACAACTGTTTTTTGATGTGTCCACATTAGCCCCATATGTTGTCCACATTAGCCTCCAAGGGGGGGCTAGTGGACAAATGTATGTGTTTTAAAAGAGTGTATTTGAAATGAATTTAGAAGGAAAATATTAAATCTGCTTATAAAGAAAAGTAAAGAAGAAGTAATGAGGTATGTAGGAGGCACAGAATGTTCATTAAATTAGAAATAATTTATATATAAATAAAATAGATTTAATGAAGGCCTCTATACATGTAGCAATTTGTTGGGTTGATCGGCCAACCAATCTAACAAATTGTATCATAAGGAGACAAGTTGCCCTACAAAAATTTTTGTTGGTTGGTTGGTTCCAACCACATGACTGTCAAATACCCGACCATACCGCCCAACAAATTGTATAGTGCTACACCACGACAGTAGTGTTGGGCTGACCTTCAGTAATATTAGACCTTGAAACGCAGGTTCAATTGTGAAACAGTTGTTTAATTGGTAAGTTCTCTTGTACATTAAGATTTTGGTGGTCGCTAATTACAATATGAAGTTGAAAATTTCAAAAGTAAAATTGTAAATTCAAATATAGTAGAAAAAAATTAAACAACTTTTGCCAGCTTTGCAAATTCTAAGGAATGCAGTAATTTGCTTCATTTCTTGCTTTTGTGTGAGCATGAAAAGATCTCCCACTGATTAATTGCTTTCATACAGTTGGGTTAACAATGCAAAATCAACAACAATCAGAATGATTACACAGAGTTGTGTGGTATTGGAAAATTGATGATAATCAAGAAAAGAAAAAACAAACACAACAAAATGTCATATTCAAACATAACTTGATAATAAACAATGAACTAAATGTTTGATCATGTAAAGATTTACATTATAAAACAAAAGGTAAGGTCAATTATGGAAGAGATACAATGCATTGTACCACTCTGTATTTGCAAGGAATTCAAAACTCCCAAATCCCAACCGACACATCAAGAAGCAGATGTGTTTCATTCACTTTGCCCCATTACACAAGATGTGGTAACCTCAGTAAGTTGATTCAGTTACACAATACAAGCAAGCACTTTTTGATCACAGTTACAATAAAGTTATCAGAAAATAATAGAAAACAAATTATTACCTAGACAAGAGCAAAAAATAGTAAAATACAGTGAAATGTGTTCCAGTGGCCACTTCTATTAATGGCCAGTTCTTGGTGAAACTGCTGGATTTTCCCATAAACCTTGTGAAAATATTCCCTCTTTGAAGTGGCCACCAGGCCCTTTAACTTGATTTATTTCACAAACTAAGGTAATAAGCAGTCATCTCAAATGATTTTGTGCAGGGAGATTAATTTCTGATTCAGATCATAACAGATGATTTTAATCCTTAGTGAAATAACAATGCATTCCTTTGCTTGTTCTGTAGAATTCTAATGATTAGCTTACCTCTGCTTCCCTTGTGGGGGTTTTCTCAATAACTCTCTGAGTACATCACAAAGCATGAAAACAATATGAAGGTCATTCACCACCACCTTCATCAGACAGCACTGCTCTAAAGTTTCTACAGAATGTCAAGTGCATAAAGTCTAGTTTGCTGGTTCAATTTGGTGAGGACAAAAGTGTGTTTTAGTTGTAAGAAAATGAATTACAAGTCAAGGGTGTATTTTGACACCAACTAAGAGAAGGCAAGTGATCCAATATTCTTTGTTTAAGTTCCATTTTGTAATTTAAGGTAATTAAAAATATTAAGGAAAACATACTTTTTTCATAACAGGTAGAACAATTAAGGTTAATTAATGCTTCCTGCGACCTCATGGTTTTAATTGGGTGTCAAATTTTCACCCAAACTATTGATAATCAACAACATTGCACATTTCTTCTTGCATATCTGCAAATTCTCATTCAAAATGGTCAGGCCTAAGAAGCAGATTGACTCAGGTGGATAACCACACCTTTGGATAAAACTGATCTTATCATGTGCCTTGGATTTTTATTTAGAGTTTCTTGAATCTAGGTCATTACTGAATGGGAATGTGAATTGCTAATTACAGATCTATATGGGACCATCTTGCAGTCCTACTAGAGTAGCAGAATTGATAATTGTCATAAACAATTTTTACCGATCGTTTAGTGCTGCCATTTAAATAAAGTTACTTTCTTGTTTCCTTTGACAGGTGAAAACTACACAAACTTCCCAATTTATCTTAAATTAAAGCATTCATAAGTTAAAATATGTAACATTAAGTCACGAATAAAATTTTCAGATGTTATCTTCCACAATATAAAGATGTAAAATAATCGTTAAACTAAAATATAACTACAGTTAGTTATCTCAAGGAATGTATTTTTTTTAATAAATGCAGTTGATTTTAGTAGCCATAATTCAAAAATTTGCAACTTCTATGAATTAATGAAAAACAAATTATGTATTGTAATATTTTCACCAAATATTTGACATCAATATCACATTCATATTTATACAGATTACCAATAGTTGCATTAAAAACTGCACATTTAGAAGTTCATCAACAAATTATTTTCCAATTATATTAATTGTTTAGGCTGATTGTAGGTACTCAAATTTCTCCATTTAAGTCAATTGACACAGCATTCAAAACCCAACTAGTTCCCATACCCATATTCTTTGTCCCAAACAAAGTGGAAGGTAAATAGATCCAAATCTTTGCTTTAATGTACTTATTTTGCCTCTCCAAAAGTTAATGTTGAGAGCACAAACAATAATGTTATGTTATTTCTTGAAAGAAATGATTTCTTTATCATCTTCAAAAAAATATTTTATCAAAATGTGTGAAGAATCTTAAATTGTAATGCAATTAATTTTTAATTCTCCATTATCTATTCACATTTCAATAAGGTATATTCTTCTATGACAGCATATGATAAACACTTGTAATATTGTTGACCAACACTTCAGTAGCCCGGAAATCACACAGCAAAATATTTTGTGAAATTTCTGATTGCAGTCACAAAATACTATACATTCTTGGGGATAAATGTGTAGAAAAGACACATGAAAGAGACCAGGCACAGCTTATATTTCTGAAAAGACTTATCATGGTGTTCTTTACTAATCTGTTATGATCCAAGTTTGTATCATTATTTTCATTCCTTTTATGTGAAGACATGTCCTGCTTCCAGTTTCAATGTAATACAAGGGAAATTTTCCCATTAAAAACATAACATGAAGGCATGTACTAATAAAAATTAATAATACACATAACAGTTATCATATTAACATTTTTTATCTAACAAATTCTGCTTATTATTAAATTATTATTCTACATGCTACTAAATAGACATTTTATTCGAGATAAATACACTATTGGAAATGAGAGGATTGGATTTTGAGGTTATGGCAGGAGTATAAATAAACAATAAAAAGACATTTGCATGAAAAATTGCTTTCCATTATTGTGACCAAACACTGAGCATATCCATACAGTAAAACAATAAAACAATAATAATGTGATGATGTAAGGGAGACCAACATTGTTCAAAGGATTTATAAAAGCTCATACAGGACATTCATGACATCCAACAACTAAGGTTCAAAGAAAATATTTATATCCACATTACAACTCCTCATCATGCATTTCAGCACCGAACAAGATGGCCTCCCTTGGCAGATGCCACACTTGAAGTCCATCACATTCAAGAAAGATCCAGTCTTAGATAGATTTACTTCAGTTGTGTGGCTTTCCTGGAAACTCGTGACAGAATTTTCCTGAGTTTTGACACACCCTTACATTCGATTGTTTTCAGTACGAAGCGTAAATCGAGAGTTTACACCAATCAAACGAGGTGAAACCCACGACTTGAGCGTGCCAGCTTGCACGGTTTGTCAGGGAATCACACAGAGAGATCGATTGCTTGGTCCTCGTTTAAAAAACAGTTGTCGGTAAGATTATCCTCACGCCACTCCGACACACAGATCAGCCACAAATACAGGCAGACAGAGAGGAAGGCCTTCTGGCACCCACAGTGGTACCTAGAAGTCCAAAAGTACCATTGAGATAGTGTGCTGTATGCATGTGCATCTTGAATTGAAATCAAAAAACAGCCTCACACTGACATCTAAACGGACACACGGCTACGCTATTTGAATGGCAAGTCCGAGCAGCAAATTGGATGTTGGGGATCCCCTGGGTAAAACTGTACAAATTTACACATTATAAGCATCCTGTGCTGGTTCGGCGTGGAAACGTGGTGCAAGAAGGGAACATGGAAGACATTCAAATCATCAACATTCACTTTCAAAGAAGGAACAAAATAGAATGGTATCAAATCACTGCGCAGAAGAAAACCAAGCAACCGGAAAATTGTGTGTCTAAGTTGATGAACAAATTGGTGAAGAATTTGCATCGTTTTACCATCTGATACAGTTAACACTGTTGACTGATAGTTTTTATTATCTTATTACTTGAATTGCACTGCACAGTCAATTGAACTTGTTCTCCATTGAGCTCCATGTCTCCAATTCTCCACCTGCTCAACAGTCTCATTTGACACTACAGTAACTGGAGCATTTCTGGGGTTTGCTTTTCCATTTCTTTAAACACTTTCATTTCTACCGGAGGCACTTCAGGGAAAAGTTCCAAATTGCATTTCCTTGTCGGCATATCCTGCCACACCAACCAAGTGACAATGTCCAAGCATCACAACTCTGGTACCGACCGGTCATTGAGCAAAGAACAAATGTTATGGGGGTATGAACCCCCTCCCCCGGATCAGCCCCACACTTTCAGTCTACAGTCCAGTCACTCTAAACTCATTCATTTGGATGGATCTATCCCGGGTGGCGAGAGGTCGCAATTCAGGACGCAATCCACTCGTCCCGTAACACTGTGATAGTATCACATCACATACATGCACACATATGCATACATACATCCATTCGCCTGCACTGCATGGCATATTGGTATCTCAACACCGGACCTCAAATGTCGAGTTTGAATCTGGCCCGGCCGACCGCCATCACGGATTCGATTCAGCAGCCATGATGTTGTGCACTTGTTCCAGTTTGTATGCCAGTCTTTGCTTCTGAGAAAACTCATCTTCTTCCAATGTCACAGTCAATTGTTCATTGTACTTCACTGCATATGTGTAAAGCTCATGAAGTGCGCAATTTGTGTTAAATTCCGATGTGTGTAACTGTAAATAGAAAAAAGAAATACATTAAGATCATGCATATTCAAATACATATGAGGAGAAAATACACTTAAAAATCACATGTTAACAGGTGTTAAAAGATATATTACGAATCGGTATTGTCTGTGAATGGATATTCAAAGATATTATTACTTATGAATTACATAATTACACTCAATTGATTTTGCAAAAATAAAAGTATCAACTTTTTGCTAAAATTGTAACTACTATAAAAAGTGACATTTCACACAAGATTCTTTAACAGAAAGTTGTGAAGCACTGTAGGAGTTTCTGAACTGGAACAAAATGAACCTCCACACACAGTAAAATACACAAAAATTATATCACGATCACAAAGTGTAACAATTGCAAAAAGGTTTCGAACAAAAAAGAAAAAGTGATAATTAAAATATTAGGCAATAAATAATATACAGAAGTTTACCAAATTCCAAACAATGAACTTATATAATAAAATCTTTTTAGATTCATTACATACAATGCATTACAGAAGAGGATTTTCAATTCCATCAAGAATGTAAAGAAAATCATGTGTACAGAAAAGCAATTTCATTTCAATTCAAATTAAAAAAAAAAAAAAAAAAGAAAAGGAAAACAAAACACAAGACACTATTTATACAACAGACTAGTTCACATATTAAATGTACATACAGTGCTTTGAAAATGCTAATATTATAGTGCTATTTTGCTTTTTCTTCTTTTCTACTACCGAGATTCTTCCGCAACTTGGCATTCATATCTGGTCTGAAATAGCTGACAAGCTAATTTTGATGGTCTGAGTAGTAACTGCGTTCTACGCTTCTTTGTACACTGGAATATCGCTTTGCATTACAGAAGTTTTGAACTGGAGAAATCTTTAACCTATATGTACAATAAAAATGGAAATATTAAATGTGACTGGTACATAGAAATAATACAAAATAGTTACGAAGCTCATTTACAATTTTTAGTAATAAATCAAAGCATTGTAATACTTATGCCGTGAAATGCACTCAACTTCACACCAGTCTACTGATTGATGTCGAGCAGGAATCCATGAAAGTTTGTGCTAACAGACGGAAAGGCAGGAATCCACAATATTGGACTTAGAATATCAAAGCACAAAGTTTGGACTTCTATTAAAGTTGACCAAAACGAAGATGGCAAACTGTAAAAAGCAATTCAGTAAATAAAAAAGTATTAGGAACATACAATGTATGCTCTTTTAACTTCGACTGCTTAAGGAGATGCCTAGTGTGGATCTCACATGATCCTGGCATATACATATAGCCATTGGCACTGGCTCTGTGCTGACTCGAGCTTCCAGTGACTGATCCCTCAGCTTTTGGCTGGCCACAGAGTTCTGCAGAGTTTTAAAGAGAGAGTCAATAGGAATGTGGACAATAAATAATTAGAACATATGAGCATAGAGAAACAATTTTTAAACAAACAATTACTTTGGCGAACGCTATCTTAATACGAGTCAAGTGAATCTGACACAGTTAATCTAAACTAAAAGAGGAGCGTGAGACAAGAGGATCTACTGGCACAGTAAGTCGTGAACTAACCCACACAAGAGCAGTTGAGAAACTTCACAGAGTTTCGCACATACAAGTATACACACGACAGTTGTCGTTGAGGAGAAAGTGTCATTCGATCTTTGCGGCATAACTATCTATTATACATCTAACTTTAGTCAGAGAGATCACTGAGTTTTATTCCTATGGATATTTATGAGATATAGCCATCGCACTCTGATCGTTAGCACGCAAGTGAATAGTGATCCCCTAATTAAGCAAAGTAGAGGATCAGTGCTCAGTACTCGTGTAAAGAGAAGGAGGATGGAATACAAGACATAAGAAGCAACTCTCATATTGGCATACTGAACAGAAAGAAATGCAAGATATTCATAGCTTAATCCACGAAGACAAGACACTATTCACACCAAATCGATCTACATATGTAGCTGGGCAAGATCACAATTATAATATACAGAAACGTAGCACAAACGTTATATAAATTAAAAAACAAAAAGCAATTCTAAAATAGTAAAAGATGATCCTCACATAACATTTACGACATCAAGTCCCAGGAGACACAACACCATTACTTCATCATTTCCACCAGAGTTGACTCAGGCTAGAGGAAGAACTTATTCCAATGAGTATTAACCACAAGTAAGAGTCAGTAAAAGCAGATTATATACAAAAGAGTAAATTTTAGACTAAGAGTCAGAGAGAGACACTCTCGGTATATGAACAGTACATATGAACTCGCTCTCTTCGCTCACTACCTGTTAATATCACCTGCTAAGTACGCAAATAATCAGATTAGATAACATCAATACTAATTTTGGGAAATAAAAACATGTACGAACAATTAAGGAACGCCTGCAATGCTTGGTCATCGAGGAAGTCAACATATATTATGGCAAGGGCAAAGCCACTACCTCGGAGTTAGAGAGCCTGCTAGACTCGAAGAGAATGATTGAGTTATCGAACGCAGATACGAGAGATCAGCGTCTGCACAAGTGAGAATATTTGTCGCGAAGGGTGCCAAAAGTATAACAAAAAGAATATATTGTAATTAAGATATGTCCACACAAAAAATTTAAAGGATTTCTATAAAAGTAAGTAGAATGAAAACATCTGAAAATAAACACATAAGTATTATTTAATACACACAGTTGAAAATACATTTAGAATCAATGATATATATGTATATCTATACTCATGCTTTTCAGTATAAATGACGCACATAACTCTTCTCATGTGAGTTTATAGAGACGAAGCTCTGCAAGGGACGATAGAGTAAGAAATTGAGAAGAGAACATGGACTTTCGTGTCTTCTTCTCTAAGTGTTATCTACGAGAAATACTCCGCCCTCGAGAAGCACTGAGTCACTTTAAAATCGTGCTGAGTAATATTATAGGTCTAAGAATTAGTTATGTAGATATCATCAAATATGTGACACGAGTAAGCCCAATCTTGTGTTTCATAGCACAAAAGTTGAGGATAAGAAGTTAAATTAGTCGACTGTCAGCGATCAATGGTGGTGTACATGTCCTAAGATATACAAAAAGACAAACTCGAGTATATCTGCATATAATGTGCTCAGTACTATGCAGTATAGAGACTATTCGGAAGAAATCCCACCTCCAAGAGGGAAAGCGTTGCATACTGAACCATGGACCATACGTCATTGTAACTCATCAGAAGAGATCATAACATTTCATGTGCTAATGAAGTTGAATTGTTATAGTATGATGTTATAAAGATAGCGGTTGTATATGAATGGGAATCAGAGAAAAGACTTGTGCTTGTATATATGTCTGTATTGTCGCACATTAAGGGTGATTTACAGAATAGTAGTATGTGTGTGTATTGTGAAAATGTAGAAATAGTGAGAATAGGTCTTTATTCTTATACTATTAAAAATAGCAATATGTACAATATGAGTCATCTACTTGATAAATAAACCTAGGAATCTAAGTATGATAAGCTAACTTCAATGATTGATATTAGAAATATATAATAACTCATCACTTCTCTCATAAATTGTACAACTAAACACGGATGGTTGATTATATATATACATCTAGAGCAACATGATCTTACAATATAAAAATTGTTTATTAATAAAGAGACAAATCTGCTTAGTACCACCTCGCGACACGTAATATGCACCACTCTCTAGTACTGTTATATACTCGATAGTATAATTTTTGGGCATAATATTGTGTACGACACGCACTATTTGCATTATCTCGGAGTATATACACTATTTATAGCAGAACACATTTAAACTGAGCTCATCTTCTATGAAATTTTAGTACTCTTATATGTCAAGTTATTTTAACACCGATGAAGTAACATAGAGTACTCGATAGTTCGAATTTATATAATGTTATTCAATTTCATAGATACTCATAATCTATCTAACACAATACTAAGAAACTAACAATTTGTATGAGTTCGGAAATGTAGTAGCTTATTAAGACACATATGAGGTTGATTTTATATAATAGAGAAGCACACTATGAGGGAGTTACCAAACGGCAAAAAGCTATCGACATAGAGAGAAAACTCAAATCAGGTCATCTCATAGCACAACAATTATACTAGTAAATATGTTATAAAATGAAAGTGGCAATCATATATTTCATCAATAAACTTTTTTTTACACACGAGCACACTTTAAAATCACAATATATAACATCTTGGTACACTCGTCTTCGCTGCTGCTAGCAACACGTAACGCATTTGAATCGTTTGGCTCACGTTAGCTATGATTACAAAGAATAAAAGAAATTACGAGCCTTGTAATAAGCCAGAGACAACTAACGACATTACTAGCCAACTTTACACGAGAAAACAAGTACTATTTTTTGTTGAAACCTTGCTTTATGGGGAATTTATGTTATGAAAATCAATTGAACAAAAAGTGAGAGTAGAGGAAAAAATTTTTTATACTAGACCTTGTGATAGGGTTGGGTTATTGAACTTAAATTAAATAACACTTATATTTATCATCACACACATATAAGTAAGTTTAAGACTATAAACAGCTCACGTTTTGGCTTCTAATCACCACTATCGACTTAATATATCGAGTGATAGCTAAAATTAATTAGTTGTATTATAAATTGCTATAAATTGTGTATCAAGTTGCATCACCAAGGAATTTCAATTAATTTTTCCTCCAGAGACTACTCAATCAATCTAATATACATTCATGCTGTTCTTGAGTATATTGCAATATGAACCAGCAAAATATGGGTCACATCATATAACTTCTATATTTTAGTAAACGAAATAACTCACTGTAAAATGTATACGACTTATCTAGTGTGTTGCTCATCTTTAGATTGGTAGGTGATGTGGCAACACAGGACTACCAAGAGGTAATTTGATATTACAGACACCTCGAATTAGAGAATTATTTTGAACAAATAGAAGAGTCACATGATCGTGTAGTAAGAGTTGTGATCTGTTTTTCTTCAGACAAAAAGAAAGATATAACTTATTATACGGAACCGCGACGCATATTAGTGGAGATTATCGATTTAAATCTTCTGTCTACTTGAAGCTGGAAAGGGGTGAAACGATTACCACGTACTTGCGGAAGCGCGCGGCCAGACACATGACTCAGTTGTTACCGTGGTCGTTGACACATATGAGCATTCTTATTAGAGTATGACGCGATCATGCACGCGAGTACAGAATTAAAATCTGTATTATATAGTAAATCAAATATATAGTTAGTAAATTGAATAATAATGACTGCTTACTGGGCACTATTCAGATATTAGTTACTTATAATTTTTAATGCAACTTCCTAATATCCTTCATAAGCTATTACCATCACTGCTCAATAGGAGAGAATATAGAAACGAGATAATCATCATGATATGGAGAGAGAGGGAAATGGGAATGGCTGAGGAAAGAGCTAATAATGAGTAAAATAATTATAAGGCGAGCTAATGGACGCCTCATATGTTGATCACTAGAACAGCGCTGAGAGAGACTTCTGCAAAATCATGGTGTTCGAGATTAGCAAGTTTACAATGAATAACAGGATCTCAATATTAAAAAAAAAATATACAGAGCATCTGTCAACTCACTCTATGATCATAGGATCAACTTAGAGAGCCTCCGATCTTGTATCATACCGGTTACCTCTCCTGTTTTAGTAGGCATCCTTCATCATACAAAATGAACCTCATCCCCTGTCAGCCGCTACTTGTGAACTGGAGATAAAATCACTTATCGGTAAGTTGACCTATTAGCGTGCGCACCACATTAATCTTCGATCGTTCAACTCACTATTAAGGAATTTCACAACTTCAACACGGAATGTTGAACACGGCACTATATATTTTACGTATATCACACGAAATTCACATCACGTGTGCATGATACACACTTAGCGCCGTACTATTGGAGTTATTCGTAGCTAGGGGAAGAATGACACTGTAAACCGGTGTCGCTAGTGAGCACTGGCTATATTGACAAGTTCCGAAAGCAGTTAAGCGCACTGCTGATGGAGAATTCGTACGAAGAAAATAGAGAGACTGAGCAAGAGAGGAGGTGTAAAAGAGAGTTAAAGAGATAGAGGCGAGCGGAGGCGTACGAATGACGGCGTAGTGATCTGTATGCACGATAATGGAGCAACGCGAAACAAGACGGATTTAACGAAATAAGCAGGTCTTACAGTTATGACACGATGATGATCGGCATATTAGTTCTATTATTTCCTGTTTATTCGTATGCTGGTATTCAGACCGTAACATGCAGAGACGAGAATGGTGACTTGTGTGTATTACTTGGTGCTAACGAGTCACGTCACCTCGCTAATCACTAG